AAAATATACAATATATTTAAAACTGCTGATATGAATCTCAAATTGAAATAAACCCCCACTTGAAAACACACAATTAATCATTTGCTGGTAGAGAATTACAAGGCTGAATTTTGAAACTTATAAAACAGAAGTCATGAAAAGGGTAATATTCAAGAAAGTGGATTTTACTTTTTCAATTTAAATAAAAATAAATATATTTGTAGGAGAATAATGCTAATATTGTCATTTTTAATTAGATAGAGGATGACAAAGAATTAAAAGCACCACGAAATTCAGATAATATTTTTGGAGAGACACACATTTGAATTTAATACAAATACACACTTTTCAAATGTATGTGCATTTTTTAAACTGATGTGACTGCTATGATGAATTTTTTTTTTACATGCAACAATCTAAATAGGAAAGTTTTAAACTGCAATTCTCAAAAGATTTGGTCTGGATTGTTATTTAATGTTTACTTACTAAATTCCAAGGGCTTGGGACAATCACCTAACTCTAAAGCCCTTATAAATATCATGAACTTTATTAGAATTTAGTAGTTCATGAAAATTAGGATCATCTTAGATTGTTTCTAAGTTTAGAATTTAATATATTCATAAAGATGTATTCTAGATCAGATGTTAATTATTTTTAGAGTTAATTAGTGCAGGGGTGAGGAAGAGAACAGACTTATTCCTTTGTGCTTAGATATGCCCTTTACAAAAAAACAAATCTATTATATGAAAATAAATTTAAATATCAAAACTGAGAATTTGAAAAATGATCATATTTGTTGACATTTGAAAAACTGCAGCATTATCTATTTCATACATAAAAATACTATTGATTAAATATACATTATGCAGTTGAACTTAAAGTTGAACTGCAGTAACACCATATAAATATAAAAATCAAATATTTATATTTTATCACCTTACTATAAAGCCCTTGTAAATATGAACTTTATTTTAGTAGTTCACGAAATACACACACACACATACACATATATTTGATTTTCATCCAAATTACATGTAAAAGTTTCATTAAGAGGTCATTATTAAAGACAAACGTCAATGAAGTCTTCAATGAAAACGAGTGCTTTTGCTCCTCCTTCTGGTACTGTGCAGAACTAAGCTGAGTTTGGATACTTCAGGTACTTCTGTGGTGCAAGTCACAGCTACAGATGCCGATGACCCTTCCTATGGGAACAGCGCCAGAGTCATTTACAGCATACTTCAAGGGCAGCCCTATTTCTCTGTGGAGCCGGAAACAGGTCAGGAATAATGAATTAGTGTTCGTTCATTTAACCATCTTTGTGATCTTTATTAGTACAGAGAGGGGAGAATGAGAACAAAGCATTAATACTAAGGAAAGTCTGAGGATGCCTCAATTAAAGATGACAAAACTCAATGTTAAAATATTAAATGTGCTAATGGAAATGTAATTGTTTTGGTGTTTTTACACATGGATTCAGATGACTCTAGAATACATAGGGTACTGCTAGAAAATATTTATATGGAATTATTTTTACAATTAATAGAAATCAATATCAAAAGAATATCTTCTAAAACTTCACTAGTCTAAAAATACTACTTGTGAGCTGAATCAAATAATAACTGAAAATCCTGTTAGAATAATGAAAGTATTTGTATTTTCTTCAAGGTATCATCAGAACTGCTTTACCAAATATGAACAGAGAAAACAGAGAACAATACCAGGTGGTCATCCAAGCCAAAGACATGGGTGGCCAGATGGGAGGTTTGTCTGGGACCACCACAGTGAACATCACACTGACAGACGTCAATGACAATCCACCTCGCTTCCCACAGAGTAAGTGGCCTTTAATGGTCATTTATGTTCATTCTGCAGAAAGTTTTAGAATTTTTTTTTAAAGTTTTAGAAAAATAAAAAAAATAGAGTTAAAAGAAAAAATAAAAAAGGAACTATCAATTTTATTTGAAACACTTGAAATTGTCCTATGCAAATGAACTAAAACTATATGTTGATGAGTTCACTGTTATTCAAAATAAAATGAAATATTTCAGGCATATTTTATAATGAGTCTCAATGGACACACCTAAGACCAAATTAATTTTTTTCTATTATAAAAGAGCCTGTACTTCAAGATGGAATTTAATGTTGTTAGAAATGAGACGTAAAAATCAAATTCTAGCGATAATCTAATTTCTCATCATTTGCTGAATATTTACTTCTAAATATATCTCCAATTTCAGTTAGTGTTTTGGTTTAAATATTTTCCTAATAAAATATTAAAATATAAAATGCAATGGCTTTTTTCTGATATTTGTATCTTTGAAGACTATTACTCAGAATGAATGATAGTGTAAGAATTCACTGTGGTTTTTTTTTGCTATTTATTTATTTATTTACTTTTGTAGTTCTAGATGGACAGCATGCCTTTATTTTATTTATTTATTTACTGAGCTATAGCCCCAGCACTGTTTGATGATTTGAAAGCATTTTATTCTTTTGTCTGTTTTTTTTTAAATCAAAATGTGATTATTAGTAGTGTATTTTTTGAATTATATTGCCTACAATTACTTATGTGAAGGAATGTTAAGTTCAGATAGAACCTTCTTCAGAAGACCAATTGTCTGCCTCTGTACCCATGGCGACTGCTTGCTGGGTGTTTGATGCAAGTGCCCATCACACATAAGGTTGAGCCCAGAACAATGAGGAAGGCATCCATGTACTCTATTTTCAAGAAATCAGGTTTCATCTCCACATTATCTTTGTCAATTTACAAGAAAAAGCAAACTGATAATAAATACACATAATTCTATAAAACAGATTTAAAGATATAAACAATTTAAAAGAAATTTCATAACAGGGAAAAAAAGGAACACTGTAAATATACAAGATCATTAAGATGGAGAAAGAAGGACTGAGGGAGGGAGGAGGGGAGGGCGAGTAAGGTATTGGGGAGTGAAATTGATCATATTTTGTTTTAAAGTATGTATGAACATACCATATTAAAATCTACCATTCTGTATAATTAATATGCACCAATTAAAAAATAAATAAAACAAATTTTAGATTACAAATGTATTCCTGGCCACTTCTTATCTTGAGCCTTTTACCAGGAGAATGAACATGCAAATTGAAGAGAATAAGCCATAACTAATTAATTTCACAATGTACAATGAGCAAAGTATTTTGGAAAAAAATGTATTTTATCAGTAGTTAATAATCATTTGGATTAGTACTATATTCTTAAATTCTCAGTAGTCTAAAATGCAGTCCATTCACTAATGGCACATTTGATAAGCAAATATACAGATTCTAATTAAATGAAGAAAATTAGACATTTTATAGGCAGTAATGATCAATGAAAATACACTTGATTATGTTTTCAATTGCTGTGAGTCCTTTATTCATCCATTTAATAAATATTTTCTTTTATTTTATTAACTTGAAATTTTTGATTGCCATCTCTTAGGCACAATATATAAACCCTGCTGTAGTAATAGTGGCAATAATAATCATTAAGATGCTAATAATAATGAAAGGAAAAAACTGCAATAATTTTTGCATTTTCTAAATGGCCTTTTTATAGGACACTGTGCCATATTATTTATTGACCTACCTTATTTAATCAGAACAACTCATTCAGATCAGTGTTATGATCTCAATTATATAAATGAGAAGAAAATGAGTGGTTAAAGATGTTAAGGCCAAAGTGATAGTTATGACAGAGATGTGTTGACATCAATGTTCAATTCTAAATGTGAAGCACAATATATTTAAAGGGATTTTAGCACATCCTGCTTCCTGACTCATTATTTTAAAATATGGATGGAAACATAATTTAGTGATTTTTATTTGCTAAATTATCTTTTATATTACAAACATTTGCAACTGTATCTGACTGTTGGGAACACTCAGTCATGGCAATTAGAATGTCATTTGATAGCCTAAATCATCTAACATTCAAGAAACTTGATTTTAATTTCTAATATCATTTTATTAGATACACAAAGTTAGTTCTGTTTATGTAATCTTTCATGTGTAATGTATCATAGAAATCTCATACTAACTTTGAAACTAAGAGTGGGTATAATAAAGAGAGAAAACAATGCTGTCTACTAACAATATAATGTAAATGTAGAATGTTTGCTACATGTGTAAATGTAAATTTTCTATCAGCCATGTTAAAAAAATAAGGGAGACAGGAGGAATTTATTTTAATTATATATATGTATTTTTAAAAATTTATTTTTGGTGTGTATGGACACAACACAATGCATTTTATTTGTATGTGGTGCTGAGGATCGAACCCGGGTCCCACCTGTGCTAGGTGAGCGTTCTCCTGCTGAGCCACAATCCCACCCTAACTATATATTTTTTAACCCAATATTGTCCTTTATATATGTCATCAATATAGGACACAGTTAGATATTTTTCCATTCTTTTACCCCTCCAAGTCTTATACTTGGGTCAAATATATTCCACTGTCATCAAATTTTAATTCAGATGAACTGCATTTTCAATGCATAGTACAAGAGTTTGAGTGATTTGATTGTAACCTGCCATATTTGCAGTTCAGGAGCAGACCCTGTGATCAACCTGCATGAGACTCAGTGATCTCGTACTTCTAGGAGCATTTTCACCTTGATGAACTGCAGTTTTCCAGTGTCATTAGTTACACTGGACACTAGTATATACTTTGTGGCCTGATGTAAGACTAAATAAATAACTGAGGCATTGACTCACTGTCTAGCACTTAGTTTATTTATTTAGTGTCTAATAATGTTGATCTGTGCAAGTGCTGCTCTTTTAGCATCTTCATCTTTAAATATTATAAAAGTAGATCAAAACTTAAGCTTTCAATAAAGTTGAATCATCCAAATTTAATATTTCTCAATATGCTGCATAAATACTTCTGTCATTTGGAAGGGACAGGGACCCATGCAAGCTAAGATATCCTGACTCATTTGTTTGTTTACTTTATTGTGTGAATTTATAACAGTGGTTCTCAGTTTAGGGCAATTTTGCCTGCAAGATGTCAATTGTCAATATCTTGACAAATTTTTTTTGTGTTACCTGGTGGGTCCTACTGACATCTAGTGGATGGATGCTGGGAAGGCTGCTAAGAATCCTTATAATACAAAAGACAATTATTTAAGCCAACTTATCAATAATATTTAGGTTGACATTTTAAAATATGTTAAATGAATAGCAATTAATTCATGTGACTCAAAATTTTTTTCTAAGTTTGCCTCAATAAGTTTAAAAACTGAAAGTGCATAAAATTAGGCAATTTGATTTTCCTGAACCTCAATCCCTGTATATAAATCACTTGTTACTCATAATAATGTTGCAAATAATTAATAAGGTCAGATAAATAAAATGGCTTCAGTAATTCTCATAGCATATAATAGTATTTCAATACATGGATGTCCTCTTGAGAAGGAAAAGGGTAAATATCAAGGATTATATCTCAGTTTTCAAATTTTAGTGTTTTTCTTGTTCTGATGCCAAGCTGCCATTTATTTATGGCCAAATATTAAATAAAAACACCTCAAACCTAGAAAGATATATAATCATGAGTTTCACAATAAAGTAAATGTGCTTGTCTCATAAATAACTGCTTAACACTATCTTTAATGAGGACTACAGGGCAAATTAGTCAAATATTCAATGTTCCATGAGTTTTGCTATTTCATTTTGCAAAAGTTAGAAAGATATTATATGTCCATACCTTAAATATATCTGTAATGCATCCCCATTTGGATATTTTAGGCCTATCCATCCCATTTTGTTCACTTCCTATATGTATTTCCTAAAATCACAATAAAACCAAATAGGCTTTATGGAAATAATCTAAGCAAATATTAAATTACTGTAACTAGATCATTATATTTTGGGAAAAGCAACTGGACAACAGGATTTTTTTCAAAATTACATTTCATTTATTTATTTTTAATAAAAACATCCCTGGGAAAATAATTCGATTTTGAGTCGAGAGTCATTCATTATGTGAGGGATATCTCATCTATAGTGAGCATGCTAGGGCCAGCATCCTTACTTAAATGTTGCAGAGAACAGCTGCAGGACTCTACTGTCAATTTCTTTCAAGCAAAACAAAACAAAAACACCAGAAAGGAAGCCCCTCTTCTAGAGAAAAAGAGTTTGCAAAAGCAGTTAAACCGGTGGTCAGGTTTTCATTCACCTAGTTAGTGTCTAAGATTTGGCTCCAGTTTTTGAAGGAACTGCAAGTGTCAAGATAGCAATAGGATTCCGGAGACACGATTTGGTATACAAGACTAGCATCTGAGACTCAGATAAAACATACAGACCTGACCCACAAATGGGATGCAAACCCTTGCAAAATTTTCAGAGGCTACAGCTATTTACACAACACTGAAACAAAATACAAAGGGAACAGATTACTTTACATCCTAGCTAAGGATGGGTCTGCTGTCCTAGCATTTACTCACAGAACTTTTTTCGTACAACTTAGGTTGAGAAATCACAAACCAATAGCAAGTAAATTTATGTAATGTCAGGTTAGCTGAGATTTTATGAAGGGGAAAACTTTTAAATTATAAACCAAAGATCATGCAATGAATGAGAAACCCTCATTTGTGGTATATTAGATATATGTCAAATTAATATGATATATTATATATTATTAATATGTATATATATAATATATATAAGATACATGTCAAATTAATGAGAATCTGATATGGTATTTATTATATAGCATCCAGATCTATCCAAAGTGTACTCAGAATAGTGAATTTATTACTGTCTGTTATATTTTTTTTCCCATGAACTATTGAGAATAGTAACAAAAATCAGTT